ATTAGAAACTGGAGTGTTTAGTATTTAAGAATTAAGTACTCTGCCCTGTACACAGCAATACAGAAGATACCCTGAGTCAATTGCTACAACACCTGGATCAGGCTAACAGGTTGACTCCTCTCTGAAAACAGAGATAAATCTAAACCATGAAGCTTTAGCTTTTAGAAAGCTTATTCCATCTCACGACAAAACTAGATTTTGTTCAGCAAACCCAGGATTACTGCATCAAAGTTTGTCTTATTGCTTTAAGGTGAGGGCTCACAAATGAGCTGTGGTTTCTAGTGCTGATTCTTCTTTGATTTATGTAGGTCACCAAAACTGCCTTTGTATCCCTTCAGAGCCCTTTATTACCTAGCAATACTACTTGTCTACAGGTATGGTATTAAACACAGTGTTTGAAGTTCTCACGTGAATGCCTACCAGCAAGAGTCATACTGTCTTTATTTTCCAGCTCACAAAACAAGTACTTTTTCCTCCCCTCCAAGTACATCTTGAAACAAAGATGATGCTTGGGAAATGCTTTATTTGGTATATGTACTCTAAATCTCTCCTGAAGTTGAAAAACTTTCAAGAAGATATATTTGAAGTGCTTAAAAACAAGCAAAACAACAAAACTTAACAAAAAACCCCCCAAGACCTTCCATTGGTAAGAATCTAGGTAACACAAGCAGCAGAACGCTGCCACAGGCTGCTCAACATACACAAACTCTCAAAAAGACTGAAATTTTTGAGGTGAAAAGATATACCTCAAGAACAAGCCACCACATTTAATGAAACAAAAGAACACACAATCTTATTCTTACAGTGGTTCTCTATTATGTTTTTAAGCATACTTTGAAGAAAGGGTCATTGCAAATAGAAATGCATTTGTTGAGAAAATCTGCAATGTAAAAAAATGCCTATTGTATCAGATGGCTGCAAGACAAACCTCTAACACAACTTTTTGTGTTACAACAGTGGGTTTCTTGTGCTCCCTGGTAAAAATAAAGTGAATTTTGATGTTGAAATACACAGCAATCTCCGGCGGCGAACTAACAGTCGCTGAAAAGGACAGTACAAGTGAACACTTTGATTCAGTGCCATTTTGCAGGAACAACTCAGCAGTGTAACATCCTCAGGAAAAAAAGAAAAGTGCTACAGAAATCCTTTAACAAAGACGAGACCACAAATCTTCTAGACTGTCTTGTTAAGCTCTTTTGCCATGAAGGTATCTACACATGAACACAATGAAAATAAGGATGCCCAAGCAAAAAACAGCCTCTTGTGTGCTCTGACTGGAGAGAGGTAGCTTCTTCCTTTGTTCTTAGTTTTGTTCTCTTAAGCAAAAGAAATTAGAATCCACAATTCTACTTACTGGAGGGATTTAATGACAGGCTTGTATCTGTTAATATATCCTAATTAATACAGGTCTATTAAAAAGACAGCAAGAAAGGAACATGCTACATGTTTTCCCTCTGGGCTAAGGAAGAGGTTTGCAATCATTGATGTACAGCTGGTGTAGTGTTTGCCCAGCAAACACAACTGTGTAAACAAACAACAAAACATCACTTCAAAAAAAAAACCAAAACACAAACATTACGCCTTTAAAACATACACATTCAAGGTTCTGTATATTAAGCTAAAACCTTCCCATTCACGGAGACAGTTTGACCTGCACGGTCCTAGGAGACAGGAATGCAACACCTGTTCACTTTATTTTATTGGAAAATACTCAATGCAACAAAAGCGTACTGTCAACACAGGCCCTCACAGCTGGCTCCGAAAGAGAACTCAGGCTAGGTTCTTCTTCTACAAGAAAATTAAAAAAAACATTTCAAATAAGGGCTACTCTTCTAGAAGGCTCTTACGTGACAGCTTGTGGGCGAACCACCACTCCTCCAGTACATCGACTGGGGCGGCGCGGAGATTCTGTCGCCATCGTTTCTGTGCAGGTACCTGTAAGAAACACATTTCTTTTTTTAATAATCATTTGTATCAGGATTATTTATGGCACTAGTGTTTGATGTATTCTTCAGGATGACACAACCCCCTTGAAGAAGGAAACTTTGACTTATACAAACCTGTGAGGCACCATGACTCTATGCAGGACTCTTAAAAAAACATAAACAAACAAACTTCTATTTTCAGTACCTTGATCATTACAGCTGCTGCAATGTATGTAAAGGCAAAAAAGAACAACAAACCTACAGAATCACAGAATTATATGGGGCTGGAAGGGACCTCTGGAAATCATCTATTCCAACCCCTATGTGATAAAGTGGAGTATCTTCTTCAAACTGTGCACTGAAGACCAAGGTACAACCCCTATGTGATAAAGTGGAGTATTTTCTTCAAACTGTGCACTGAAGACCAAGGTACAGCTACACAGTTATCAACAGCATTATTCAAGACTATTATTTACTAACGAGCTGTTGTCTTTGAAAATAATTATACAGAAATCACCTACAATCACAATTGCAGCACATTGTACTCTTGAAAGATCTGTAACGGGTTACACTGCAGCTGACACAAAAAGCGTGACGGAACACAGCCTCCTTTTCTTTTTTTATGTCAGCTTTTTGTGTCGCCTTCAAGTTTTTCTTCACACCTCTGTTCTGCCCCGGGAAGAACTCAGCATTACATTGCTAAAGGCAGAAAACCACTTGAGGAGCACCACAGATCCCAGCCGCCTCTTGGCTCCACCATCTGCCCCCTCTGCCCCAAACCAAGCCCAGGAGCATAAAGTGAGAGAAAAAGGCCAATCCCCCAGGGGTGGGTATCGATTATCGGGATCATTTCACCTTCGGGCCGCCTGGGTACGGGCCGTGTCACGGAGGGAGGCGCGAACCAAGGCTCAGCCCCTCACAAATCAACAACAAAACGCTCAGGGAAACAACTGAAGTTTGACACACAGGGCGAGCAACCTCTGAAGAGAGAATGCCACGTAAAAGATACCAAAAAAATAAATAATCTCCTCACATTATGCCGGGGGACACCCGCGCCAGCCGGTGCTCGCTGCCCCCCCCCCTTCCCGAGCCCCTGAGGGGCTCCCACAGCGGGGCCCCCCCATCCGGCCCCGGGCGGGAAGCGGCCGGGAACCGCCGGGCACCTCAACCAGCCGCTATTGAGCAACCCACAGCCAAACGGCCTCTCCCCACAACGCCGATGAGGCCGCGGCCGCGGCCGCCCGGGGGAAGCACCCACCGGACACCGCTCTCCGCCCGCCCCGCGCCCTCCCGGGCCGGCGGCTCCCTCAGGCCTCCGCCCGCCCTCCCGCCGCATTGCTGCTTTCTGCCTTTTATCACTGAATCGTGAAAAGTGTTCACAAAATCAGACTAGTCTTGCCAAATAAAAAAGCAATTCAGAATGAGTATACAGAAAAGACTGCTTGAGATTAGTTTTCTACACAGCAACATGAATTGTTTGGGTTCCCCCCCCCCCCCCCCCCCCCCGCTGCTTTGTTTACATCGCGATCTCGCGAGAGCGGCTGCACCAGTCCCGCGCACGTGGGTGGGGGGGCGGGGCCGCCGGGCGGTGCGTCACGCGGGGCGTCGGCGGAGTGTTTACCTTCCGCGCGGCCGTGCGTGGCGACGTAGGGGCGGGGCGGAGCGGAGAGACGGGTAGACATGGCCGCCGGCCGGGACCGGGGTCCCCTCAGGGTTTGGGGGCTCGAACACCGGGGGATCCGCGGGGTCTGCGCCGCTCTGGGCGCTCGACGTGAGGCGTTTCTGCGTCACCGCCTTCACGGTCACAGCCGGGCACGGAGCGGCGCAGGAGGGAAGGGACCGCGGGGCATCACCCGGACCGGCCGCATCCCCAGGGAGGGGGGGGTGATTGTCCCTCTCGGGTCCGCTCTGGGGACACCCCGCCACACACACACTCCGGGTGCTGCCTCCGGCTCTGGGGCCACCAACAGCAGAAGGATACGGAGCTGTTGGAGCGGGGCCAGGGGAGGCCCCGGAGATGCTGGGAGGGCTGAGAGAGTTGGGGAGTTCAGCCTGGAGAAGGCTCCAGGGAGACCTTAGAGCCCCTTCCAATATCTGAAGGGGCTACAGGAGAGCTGGGGAGGGACTCTTTGTCAGGGGGTGCAGTGACAGGACAAGGGGGAACGGTTTTAAATTGGAAGAGGGGAGATTTAGATTGGATACCAGAAAGAAATTCTTTGCTGTGAGGGTGGTGAGACACTGGAACAGGTTGCCCAGGGAAGTCATGGATGCTCCATCCCTGGAGGGGTTCAAGGCCAGGCTGGATGGGGCTTGGAGCAACCTGGTCTGGTGGGAGGTGTCCCTGCCCAGGGCAGGGGGGTTGGAACTTGGTGATCTTTTAAGGTCCCTTCCAACCCAAACCATTCTATGAAAACAGACAATCACTATCATAATTTGTTCCCAGGGTTATCGCAGGGTAAGCACACTCGGCTGCCATCGGCCCCTCTCCACTTCTCCCCATGGACGGTGCATTAATTTCAGCATCACTTACCCCAAAACTTTGTTGGGAAACTCTGATTTCCATCCCATATACACAGGAAATAAATTCTTGAAGGATCCAATTTGGACAGAGCGTTATTTCATCCCCTGCAACGGCGCTGCCCTCACAGACCAGATGAAAGAGAATTAGACATTTCCAGAAAGCCTTGGATTCCCCCCCAGGATCTCTGTAACCATGGTAACGCAGAGAGCGAGCACAGGCCTGATTTCAACCCCCGTTTTATTGTTCCAGCAGTAAAGAATTAAATTCTATAAATAACTACACCCCGGCCATTGGAATAAAACACCGGCCTTTTACTTCCCCATTAAATAAAAACACACAGGTTATTTATTGCTAAAGATTCAGCCTAAAGTGACAAAAACAGTTCAATACTAAAACTGTGTGTGTGGGATGTCTCGTCTCACAAGCCACGTAGCCACAGTGAAGAAGGGGAGAGAGATTTTTTAATGACTAAAAAAAAAAAAAGTAAATAAATAGGAATGCACTCAACAGAACTTAAGATTGAAATTAAAAAAATAATTAAAAAGGCACCCCCATCCGATTTTCACAGGTTTTATTGAGGTGAACATACACATGGTCCACATACTCAACAAAAATAAGTCATAAAATAATTTAAGAACTTGTGTGGAAAGGTATTAGCAGCACCATCGGTATTGGAATAGCAGGAAGTTCACCCCTCCGAAGGGCAGACATTTATGCCTGGATAAAAATGCCATCGTTTCTAACAGGGGATGGGAATGGCTTTGTAGGATGCTTTTGGGAGTTGGACTTTTAAAACACACTATTTTTTTGCTAAATACTGTTGACAATTAATGTTACAAAAGATACAACTAAATAAGATACTGCATAGTATTTTAATTAACGTAAAGAAATCGACATTGAGCTGTGTAAAGCAAGACTCAACATCTCGGCTTCCAAGTACATTTCATTTCTGAGTAGAGAAATCTAAAATTTAAAAACAAAATATAGACCTAGTGTATTCTCTAAAAGACACACTTTAGGTGGAACGTATAGTACTACGAAAATACATATCTTCCATTCTGTTTAATAATTTACTTTAGTTAAAAAGTTGTGAAATTCTCATCACAAGAAGCGTATACAAATTCATGACTTTAGTAAATTAACAAAAAGGATTATTTGTTTTTTTTTTTAAAACAAGGTTTAGCCCCGCTGTAACAATTATACAAGGAAGAAAAGAGACTACATTTATATGAAGGAATACAAATTTACACACATTTTACAGTGACTTATACCCTACACATCTACAAAATTCACAGTTATAATACAAGCAAGTACAAGGCTGGGATAAAGCTGTTCGATACCAAAAAAAAGTTTCTACTTTAAAAAAAAAAAAAAAGATTAAAACGGGAAGAGTTTCAGACTTTTGCACCAACTTGAAAATTCTAAACCAGACCTGAAATACATTTCCTTGCAGGAGGGCCCCTCAGCAGACGCAGACAGCTTTCCTGGGGGGGTGGAAGAGCGAGGTGCTGAGCTTCTTCTGGCCCCGCAGGCTGCGGCGCATGGTCAGCTTGGCTGGGTTTTTGCGCTGGGGAGTCGGGGCCATGCCCTCGGGTGGGACGCTCATGTTTCGACTCAGGCCACGTCTGGGTTTCTTCATAGCTGGGCCCGAGTTGGATTCTTCCAATGTCCTTTTAAAGTTTGAGGTGGGCGTCCTCTCTGCGTCTTGGGCTTTTGTTTGGCCGTTAGGAGACCCCTTCAAACCTTTTTGGTCCGTGCCTGAATTTGCCGAGTTGGAAGGGGAGAGATTGACCGACAAACCATTGCTGTAGGATTCGTGTATCCTCAAAGCCAAGGCTTTGCTGCACTTCTCCTCCTGCGGGCCTGAATCCTTCGGGGTTGCTCCTGACGAAGGTAAATTGCTTTTGGCAATCTCGTTTGGCAGCTCTAAATATTTTTCTGAGATCATGTTGCTATGCATGAGGGGAGGAACAGGCTCGGAAGAATTCGGTCGTGGCCATGGATCATCTTCCAAAAGCTGTGGAAAAAGAAACAAATATTTAGGGATAAATATAATTGTTTCACCGGCATTATCCTTTGAGGGTAGAGACAGTGTGTGATGGGACTTCCCAAATCCTTATCAGAGACAGAAAAATCCTACTCCCAAACACAGCTGTTTTTTTTCCATGTTGAGAGGTGGAAAGAGATTCAGACTGGGATCTGAACGGAGTACTTTGTCCAAACCAACTTCATAAAAGCATTTACTTCCATCATCCAATTTGCAAGTGTCTCAATGGCAGACGTAAGCGTTTCATTCAGAGGGCTGTTCAGCCTCCCTCTGCCCGTGTACCTTCCTTTTTGCTGCTACAAAATGCTGAGGGATCTGCTGCTAATTCAGGAGGCCGCGTAGAAAGCGCTGCCTGCAACCTCTGTCCTGTGATTTCCATCAGTGGCATTTTCCAACCTGCAGACGTGACCTCCCTCCTTCAGATATTGGGATATATGCACCTGTGCTGCCTTCTCAACACTTCACCCATCATCAGATGGCCAAGAACTATCAGGGTAAACAGCTGAAAAAGTCTCCTGACCTTTGTTACATTTACCATTCTTCATAGATTAGCAGGGAGACTGACAAGCTCTGGGTGCCCTGATTGCACACAGGAAGGTGGAGCATCAGACAAAGCTATTCTAAAAACAGATACTGTTTGCTATGCAAAGAAATGCATTTTATTGCCTAGTTTTATGGTCTACGATTTGGAAAGAAAACAACTCCACTCCTCACAGCACCATCTCTCCATTCTCTACAAAGCCCAGTCGTTCTGTACATCACAGAGAAGCTGCTTATTGTGATGTCCTGAGAACCAGGGACTTTCTAAGCTCTAACCCACCTTCAGCTGCTCGCCCCCCCCTGCAGCCTTTGATGAGTGGTTTTTGCCTCATCCTCAGCTTTACCAACAGCAAAACGGGGACAATTCTTGCTTTCACTATCCACAGGGGGATTAGGAAAAGAAGTATTTATGCAGTGCCCTGAAGATATGAATTATGACCTTATTAAAGATTTAATTGTGAAGAAATCCCTAGTTACTGAGCAAGTCCTTCAAAAGTAAATTTCAAGGCCACGTTACTCTACATTCCATCCAGGGGAGGCAAATGACAACGACTGTTTAAAGAAAATAACGTGCTGAAAACGCAAACGCACCCAAGAGCTGAATCAGAGTAAGGGAATGTAACATCTCAGATGAACAGATACTTCTGAAGTCACAACCCAGAACAACTTCAGTTCACCTTCAAGATGATGATCCAGCACTTTTGAAAAATCTAATACTAGGGTTTAATAAAAATGCACTCCAAAAGAGAAGATAATCAGAATTGTGTCTAGCACCTAGACTTGGTTCTCTGCTCTCCTCAACTCCCCTCCTGCTCCCCATGGGTAGTGATGGAACAAACCAGCAAATACAACACGAATTACCAATTTCATTTCTCAACAGTCTAATCAATCAAATTTTATCCCTGGCCTCAGGAGTACTTGAATTAATTTGAGATTAGTAATTGTTGCCAGAAGGATATGCAATTAACAAACACTTCTGTTTAATTGAGAAACTTTGGTCTCCATCTATTTCCAAATAAGTTGTTGTGGAAGTTAGCAGTTCTTAAGAGTCAAGACTATTCGTGCTTCTTTCAGTTCTCTGAAGACACCAGGCAAGTGCCCTTCCCATTGCCACCTCTTTTCTCTGACCTGTCCTTGCTGGGCTAAAATCCTCCAGGAGTTCAGACTGATCCAGGGAACCACCTCTCATTCCTTTACAGAAACTTGCCATACTTTCTCTTGTGTAATCAACAAAAGGGGGCTTTTTCCTCCTATGAGGCTGATGTTATCACTAGGATCACAAAGGATCATGAAAGAAGGGCATTTCCTGAATCTCTCACAAGTTATCTCAGAAAAACATTCCAAAATGCATATTCTGAAACAGTTGTGTGGCTGCACATTGTGAAAAAACTGGCACGTTGTGATAAGGCTCCCATTTAATGTCTATAATTCACGTATTCAACTGTTTTTGGGGAGAGTCCCAACTGCCTCGATTGTATTTCACATCATTTGAGTTGTAAAGAAAGTGTTGAGCCCCCAAGTGGTCCAGCCTGCACTGACTGTTACCCAGAAGGCTCCCATGAAGGAATGTGGAAATGTGGAAATGAAAAGCCTCCAGTCCAGCCACTGGACAACCAAAGCTCACAGAAATATGTTTTTCCTTCCATTGTGGCTCTTGCCTAATTGATAAAGCTCTTCGTACTATGAAAAAGATAATATTACTCAGGATGGCGTAGTTACCAAATATACTTACAGATAACTACAACTATTCTTGGTTTGCAAAAAACATACGTGGAGACACAACCACTGAGACATTTCATTTATTACCATCTGTCTGGAGATATTTGCTTTTTTTCTGAAGCATTTCAACATTATTCTGAGATTACAGTGGTCTTTTTCTGTCTCTTTTCAACTTCCTTCTCACATTTCTTCTGCTATTTAACAGGTACTCCATGAGGAGAGCTGGATGCTTGTAATTAAAGCAAAAAACTGTATTAGATTAGCACTTTTAATAAAAAAATAACCAAACCAAACAAGTATCGAGGAAATAGGACCAATGTTTTTAAATTGGTGACGCCATTTCTGTTTTCATCCAGGAGGAGAAAACCTTTTGCATTTAAATAGAACTGATTTATGCTTATATTATCCATTCAGACCCGTAACCAGGCAAGATTTTCTTTGGGTCTTGCATGTTAAGCAAAAAAATAAAATAAAATAAGGCCTTATCTATATGGCAAACACCAAAATTGTTAGTCATATGAAGTTTTGATCTCTTCACTGGATCTACTTAGATGGGAGAGGGGAATCTTAAGGAAAAAAAATAAAACATTTTCACTAAGTCCTTATCCAGAAATGTGTCTTCCTGGATATTTTGCAGTCAACAGCTCAACATTTATTCACAGAGTACTGATAACAAATTACACACAGAACATATGGCCCAACTTAAAAGCTTGGGAGTATTTACAATTCAAATAATTTTTCTCCACTCAAGATTTTGCTAGATTTGAAGCTCTTCTCATGTATTCTGCTACACTGGCTGGAAAGGAAGGACAGAACGGTTGATCTTGCCATTTTATTAGCAGCTTGTTTCTACCAAGGGAATGTTAATGACTCCCTCCCTAATTTTTGCTTTCTTTTTACTTTGCCCAAAGGACAGTTATCCAAAGATACTGCAGAACATCAAAGGACAGTTAGTTAAATCCGGAGCAGCTCATAATTACTGAAACAAACATCCACTCATAACCACACTCCAGTTCTTAAAGGAAAAAAATAAAAAAAAGCTTCTGAACAGCTCTGCTTTATATCCATAATTAAAACTCCTAACTTGAGGACAGACCTTGTATTATATTTTCCTCTAACAAAGAATATTAAATCTACCAGAGGGAGATAATAAGATCTCCCAATCCAGAAAGAAAGCATTCTTTACAACAATGTCTGTTTGAATACATTAACCATGGGCTACCTTAAAAAAAGACCAACCCAAACACCATTACAACCAAACAAAATCCAAACCAAACCACCCCAAGATTAAGAACTCTTCCCCCAAGCAGCCTGGAATTCATCAGCTGAGAAGCTGCACCAGCACCTGGCAAGGCAGGAAAAGAAACTGCAGCCCAGCTTTATTCTAAGGGGATGGGTTGGGGTTTTTTTTTCCTTTTTTTAAACCCCTGATCCCCACAGTCTGAGTCCTCTCTTTCACAGCCAACTTCTGATTCTGTGTGGGATCTTGGAAAACTGACACTTAAGAAACAGTGCATTGAAAGTTGTGTGAACTATCCACAAAGTTACAGTAATCACTTCTTCTGCACTAAGGAGGGAATGCAGATCAACAACTACTAAGAAATCATTAGGATTTTAAGAGTTAAAATAAACATTGTATCCCTAAATTCAGCAATTCTGAGAAGTTCATACTTTAATACTCTGCCTTCCGTGTTCCAAAGGCTTTTAAGAAACATTATTAGAAGTTAATCTGTTTCTCTAAAGCTTTGTACATGGAAACATTGACAATATGGCCAGGCAATTACTGTCAAGTTACTGTCCTACACCTGAAATCTATTCTCTAGCCATATATGCTGCCTACTCCACTGCAGTTAAAACAAATCAACCAAACAACAAAAAAAGCAACACTAAACAGTGGTTTAAGTTGACAGGCCAGTAGTTTTGAAAAGTATTACTTCAATGCTTTGCCTACACCATTGTCCCAATCCTATGCATCACAGTAAGCTGCGTCAAAAGAAATACCTACTGGGGGAAGAAAAGGGAGATCGATACATATTTAGTGGGCTCCACACTCAAAAATGAAACACTTAAAACACCGAAGAAAAATGTTACCTTTACTGGGGGGGTACAGCAGCGGGAGGGTGTCATGACATTCGTATCAGGGCTGCTATAGGAGGGACCCTCTGCCAAGTTGAGATACAATTCTTCTTCATTTTCCAAGTCGCTTTTGCCGTCCTGCAGCGGGGAGATGCAGATGACGATGGCGCTGGTGTTATCTGCACGAAGCATGCGCTGCCTCCACCGGCCCAGGGCTCTGTTCACCAGCATCTTGGCACAAGACTGTCGGTGCTCTCCCTTCAGGACAGAAGAGAGGGACAGAGTCAAGCAAATCAGGTCCACTTTAATTATAAATGGAAGATGGAGAGTTGATGCGGCACAGCTTGGAAGATATATTCCTATGTATCATGTGCTAAAGTAGATGGATTCAGAAACACAAAAGGAAATATTAATTGAAATCAATCTTTCTTCTTAGTGAAATATAACTTTAAAATCAGTTTACAGTAGAATCCATGTATATATATGGTTGCTTTGAACCATAAAACTGACGCAATGACTCGCATAAATAGCCTGGTCATAACACACCCTACAGTCTTTCCTGAAGTTTCTCAAGGGGTTTATGGACTATTTACTATCTCATGCTCAGATGCACCACTATATAAGTTCTAAGTTGTTTTGTAAAATAAACCAGAGAAGAATTAAAAGTCTCACAAGGGGTTTATGGACTATTTACTATCTGATGCTCAGATGCACCACTATATATAAACTTCTAAATTGTTTTGTAAAATAAACCAGAGAAGAATTTGTTTCAGACTTTGTACAAAACATGTAAAAACTAATAAACAATTGTCTGTGTTATAATATATGCCTTAACGTGAAATAAATTTCATTTTCAGACAATCTTTTGTATCACTTCCTTAGAAAAGGACCACCTTATATTTATTTCTCACAGATGCCATCCTGGTAGTCAAATTTCCCCAAAATGACAATGAAATAATTCAAACATTGTTAACATGCATGATATTTGACACTATTTGCAAGCACAGTGTCAACCACCTTGTAATAACTTATTATTTTGTGGCAAAACTATAAATATGCCTAAACTAAACACCACTATTAGGTACTTTCCATACCAGACTAAACAATTTTTAGAGGAAAAAAGTATTAAATTTCCACAATGACTTATAGCCACTGCTCTCACCATGAAGTATTTTTTCTCCTCGTGATCCTGGCACATGGAGATGGCATCTTGAGGTGGGATCATGTTCCACAGTCCATCGCTGCCAAGGATAATATATTTATGCTTCTGGGGATCGATTGTGTGCACACTGGTGTCAGGCTCAGGAGACACAACAAATTCACCACTGTAGAAGTCGTAGCTCCAAAGATCACCTGGCAAAGGAGAAAACATTTTTGAATTGTTACATTACACATGAAAATAGGAATCTTGGAAACTAAGGAAAAACGTTCCCAGGAAAACAATTATCACCAGTCTCAAGGCACTAACAGCAACACAAAGTCACTTCACCACAATTACTGTTCTGCTGCTGTCACTTTCTGATCATGTTTATTAATATGTAGCAATTTAAATAAACACAAACCCACCTGTGTTTGTAGGTCTTCTACTCTCTTAGAACTAACATTTTCAGAGAAAGAGGAAATATAACAGATTATTACCTAGCAAAGAGTGACACCTCAATATCCAAACTAAAACCTACCTGAACAACTCAAGTTCTCTCCTCAAACAGAAGTAAAGCCTTACTTTGTTGAACCCACACCAAACTTGAGAAAATCTGCCTTTCCAGTTCTTGGTACAGTTTAAATACTGCAGACAAAATCTTTACCTCTTGTACAGGTAATTATGGCACATTCAGAGAACTACACTGGGGCTGGTGTGGAGGATCCCATAATCTCCCTTTTTCTCCCCAACACCACACACAACCTCAAACTTCAACCTGCACCAGGATGCTGTGCTGCCCTGCACACCCTAATAAGTCCTGCTCAGAGAAGGGAAAAAACCCCCCAAATTAAACCCCACAAACTACAAAAAAACCCCCACTTTTTCCACACTCAAGGTACTAACCTGTCTTTTTATTTATCAAAAAGCAACCTGAGATCCTCCACAGCCATCTGAGCAATACAGAGACACACAGTTACACCTTGCTGTGTGTGCATTTGTGCGCGCAGGTGCCACAGAGATGGAACAAAGGAAAAGGGGCAAAAAATGAGAGATCGAAGCCATTCCCCAATTAATTTCTCTTCCCCATTACTCTTCCTTCCACAGTACCACCTTCAAAGCCACACGGCACTGCGCTATAACCTCTTTCCAGCTGAACACCATGTGCCAAATTTTGGAGCTGGAAAGACGCCCCAGGAACACACGTAGTGCCTGGGTTCCAGCAGGAAAGCAGAAAATGAGAGCTAAAGCCTCTCCCTTGGAAGGCCTCATGCAGCAAATCTTTCTATTTTTAAATCTTTCTTGCTCTGCGAATGAGTTTGGGGGCACCTCACCAGTGACAATGGCCTGAGCTGAATTTAAATAATGCAGTTGGATCAAAACATCTATTGGTTCAAGTGCTTCCCTCCAAACCATCAAGTACAAAACTCTGACAGAAAAATTCACTTCCTTATACATTTATTTCAATTTCATTTGTCAGCTACACTTAAAAAAATAAAAACTTTTTCAGAAGTTGGGCCTTTAAATCAAGAATGGTATTATGTTGCACTAACACCTCTGAACGTGGGGTTTTTTTTTTTAATGTTCATAAATAGCTTCCTATGGTGATAAGAAATAAAAAAGTAACATTATTCTACACAAGCACTGGCTAGATCTTTCTGTGCAGAACACATGGCTTTATAAGTAGAAATTAATTAAAATGTCAGAGTTGAAAAGCATACAGAAGCTTAACAGCTCCAGTTTAAAGGTAAGGTTTTGTCAGGGTTTTTTCTTTGCTTTTTGCTGTCTTCAGAAAGCATGCCCATAGCCTTCTTCTGCATCCATCACCACCCTTTTAAAGATAATAAATAAGCTTTTTGTCTTCCTACTTCCTTCCATTAGCTTTGCCTTAAGCTATCAACCAGTTGAAAAGACTTTTCCAGAATCAGGAAAGGGAATACTTCAACTCAATTACTCCACCACAGCAAGCTCGGATGGTCCATCCTCATTAAAGCACCAATTCACCTTCACTGCAGCAGCAGCAGATGCAAACACATGCTTCTAATAAGTGCTAATTAAAAGCCAAGCCTACTTGTATAGAGGTGCACTCTCCCTCCACAGACTCACAACAAAGCCAGCCAGCTGGCAACAAGATCAAAATAAATACTGTAACAGAAGAGCTGAGCTCCAGCACAGCAATTATTCTCTACGAATCGCCCCGAAAAAGTCTTCGGGCGCTGAGAGTTCTTCCCATCGAGCCTGTCAGGGACACAGCAGGTAAAATAAACAAGAGCTTGGGATCTTACAACAACCACATCTTGGAATCAGTGGCAGCATCAATTTCCAACATGCCTAATATTTTTATGCTCTTATTTGCTAGTTTGTTCACACTCATTTAGGAGAAACGACAAATGTTATCAGCTGAATCATTTTTTTAATTAAAAATACTGTGCTGTAGGATAAAAATAACCTGATGCTATTTAATTTTGGTTCATCTACATACATGTCATCGTGCCATCTGCTGCTCTTCCTGGGAAAACAGCCGAGTAATAATCAACCTGATTTCAGAGAATCTTCCTCCAAGAGAAAGGCGGCTCCTCGTGGGGATCATTGGAAACATCCCATTGGTTACAAAGGGGAGTAGGAACTTGCTGAAGGGCACACAGGGATTCCAGGAACACACATGATGAATCCACACTTCACGAATCAGAGGCCAAAACCCCAACCAGAGCCCAAAGATTTGAAGACTAAGTTTATTAAATATGCTTTTTTAATAAAATGCATTCTTTCACATAATCTCCTGTAGCATCACCTTTACCAAAGCAGCATTCCGAGCTTGCTGTAAATACACAGCAAGAACTGAATCTCCATGAGTTTTAAATTCACCTGTACCCATCTACTCAAGTTCAAAAATCTCTAGGAAATACACAATAACTTATTTACTAAGTTGGACGATGGAACAGCATTAAAGCACAATCAGGTATTAATTGATCAACTCCAGGCAGGTCTGGAGCTACTGAAAAATAAATGGAGCTCTAGAAGTCACAAAGTGAGGAAAAAAAAAAAAAAAAAAGATATATAAAGCTTCTGTTCTTTCACCCAGAAGAAATTCCACAAAGTGTATGTGAAGCCTGAGGCATATAGAAAAATCCAGATTCTTCCTTCCTCAGCCTGCAAGGAAACATCCAGTATTTGCAATTGCCCTAAAGAAAATTGCCTTCAGCATTAGCTGAAGCCATCAGGCTACTCCCATAAATCCACAAACTTAAGTTGGACGATGGAACAGCATTAAAGCACAATCAGGTATTAATTGATCAACTCCAGGCAGGTCTGGAGCTACTGAAAAATAAATGGAGCTCTAGAAGTCACAAAGTGAGGAAAAAAAAAAAAAAAAAAAAAATGAATACTCCTGTCAGCTGTATATCTTTCTCTGGGCAGCTGGAGAGCTCGGCATCCGCAGTGGCCGAGGAACATGTTGCAAACTTAGGAAGAGTCACTTTATATTACAGTTCTGGGAAGGAAAAAGGGAGAAGAAAGTTAAGCCAGAAAATGCTTTTCCCTAAGCATTTAGAAGTGCTCTGAAATCTTTAATCCTGTCCCAAAGCAAGCACACAGACCAGTGACCCTTTAGCAGGCTGGGAGGCCAAGATAGCACGATGATGTGATACGCCGCAGGCTAGAGTTACAGAACTGGAACGCCAGGTTCTCAGACTGCACTTGGGGAGCCACGCTATTTTTGTTCCAAATTAAAACCCAAACATTCACAAAACTTAATCTCGTTCTCTAAAAACTTACAGACCAGGAATATTTCTTTTGGGGTGAAGCTTGCATATTTCTTTTTTGAACAACCAATCTTGTTCTCTAAAAAACTTACAGACCAGGAATATTTCTTTTGGGGTGAAGCTTGCATATTTCTTTTTTGAACAACAACAAAAAAATTGTATTAATGTAGTTCCTTCCATATCTTCGAGAAAAATCATTCCCATTTCTTCGTCATGACTTGAAGTAGAATACATACAGACATCTACACAAATATTACATTGCATCTTACAAAATGAAAAATAGATGTTTGAAATCATACAGTAACCAAGCAGGAAACTAATTTAGCTACCCATAAGAATATATCAAAATATGTAGTCTATCTTATCTGCTTATTATTACCTTTTAAAATACAAGGAAAAAAACTACTTGTAACTCAGCTGCTGCCAGGAAAGTAATTGAAGTTACAAACAAAAACACCCATGGCATAAGTAGACTGGATTGGATTAAGCCCAAAGCCTTCTTATAGCAAAAGTATGTCCAGAAGTCATATAAATCAAGTCTTTCATTTATGTTTCTGGAGCACGCTGTTTTGAATACAAAAATATCTTTTGGTTTTAATAGAGGAAAGAAAAGTTCACTTTTATAAGTCAGTCCAAAAACAAAAACCCAGTTTGATTAATGCCAGATCTTTTCAAATCAAAGTTTTATCTAAACGTTCTGTTAGTACAAAGAAAAGACTTGCAGAACTTCCTTTTTTTCACTGCCAATGAGGCAGCACTGCTTGGAAGCGAGACCAATCTCAGCGAGGATACAGAGAGTAACCACACTTAAACCATCCAGGCTGAGCTGGGGTGGAAAAAGTTTTGGAAAACCAAAACTCATGGCAACCTCGTCCTGCAGCCACAAGAGGGCATCTGCACAGCAGCCTGAAAACCAATGGTTCATACAACACAGGGGTGACCGAAACCAGCTCAGTCTGAGGGATGGGGACCAAGCTGAAGGTAGCAGCGAGCAGGAAAGTTAAAAAAATAGCTGTTGAGGCTTTAAAACTATCAGAGCCAACACTCTACGCTGAGCACTCACTGCCCTGGTTCATAACTCCTTTTAAGGATCAGCAGGAAATTCATGTTCTTACGAAAAGTCAAACCTGTACGGTGGAGGCAACTCCACCCAAGATATGGGTGTGAGTCTATCATATCTCTACATAAAAACCAGGGAAAAGATACTTCGTGTGGCAACATGAATGAGTGGTTTAACTGACAGGTCCTTGGTACAGGTGTCATTATTCATTCATTTAAGAAAAAACCTGACACACCAAACAGCTACAACACTGCGAGGCAATCGCTCACTACATAACCCTTCTGACAGCTGCAGGTCTTGGCTCTAAATTAGTTCCCAAGCAAAGGGGAGGAGGAGAGGGGGCAAAAAACATCCATAAAAGATGTACTAGATTTAAACCTGAACTAATTTACCAACAAGAGAGATCCCATATGATTTAAAAAACAATCGAGGCCCGTCTCTGCCATCACACCACGCGTTATGAGTCAACTTAATGAGGCTGGGGGACAGCTGGGGCTATGAACTTAAATAGTAACTTAAGAAAATTACAATGAGTTTAAGTTACACTTACAGTCACCCTACAAAGCTCAGTGATTAATCACACCATTTGTCTGCTCGTTTCTCCATTCTGTTCTGAAGTTATCTCATGGTATCAAGATATTCAGAGCTCAGACTGTAGCTTCTCTATACTTCTACTCCATACACAGTCTTTGAAAGTTACACACATGGACAGATTTTATTACTAAATTGGTTTCCAGAGATCAAAACTCTCCATTCCATTTTTCTGCAGTGGTTTTACACATGGGAAACAAAACACGCATCATCTTGTACACTTTTATAGCCTTGTGCTTATCATCCCAGAAACAGGTCTAAATTAATGTGTTTAGAGAGATGGCAAAGCTGAAACGGAACCTTTCTGCTCGCGTGTATCTGGCTATTATCATCTTCATTAACATCAGATCACTCTGGTGGAAATATCACATAGTTCCTCCTTCAGTTTTCCCCATCTGCACAGAGAGGGCAGGTTATTTCCCCTCTCAGCATTCCTTCCCCAGGACACACACAGGTAACCATGTGCCCAGAGTCCACAGCGCCTTCCCAAGTGCCACTCGGAGTGACTGTCCCCACAGGGACACAACTAATACATGATGCAATCACACACACACACTTTGAAACACACAAGTTACACGATGGCTTGCTGCCCCTGAGCATCTGCTCAACAGTATCCAGCGATTTGCACACTCACAGCCTCGCTTTACGTGTGGGGATTCAAGTCATTTGAGTTCTCTCACACCTGTTTTTTAATACATGATGCAATCACACACACACTTCAAAACACACAAGTTACACTGCTCAACAGTATCCAGCTATTTGCACACTCGTAGCCTTGCTTTATATGTGGGGATACAAGTCATTTGAGTTCTCTCACACCTGTTTTAGGGACAGCCATAAAAAAATGCACAGTTACCATGAAACTCTGGGTGCAGAATAATTACTCAAACGATTACACTGTAAGGAAATAAAATGCTTTTCTGATCAGAATAGGGAGTGATTCCTGAGATGAACGATTCTGAGACTGCCCAGGACTCCTAAGCATCTATTACAAGCAAATTGGTATAAAGAAAGATGTTTTCATTGGCAAGATTCACAGAAGTAGCTATGCTTAAAATGCAGAATACTCTGCTACAGTTTAAAATATTTCATTAGAAGACTTAAAACCTGTATATAGTACAAGTACCATACAGATACTTCACAAAGACAGTATGAAGCCTAAATATTTGACTTGTTACAGAGCTATAAATAAATTAAACACTACTTGAATGCAACTACAGTTGGAAGAAGCAGTGGTAATAAGAAGTGCATACCACAAATGGTTATTTTAGGGCAGAAAGACGCTGTAGACGATCAGAACAGTAAAGGGAATGTCAACAAAATTAATCTGGCCAGAAGGACTTCCATGGCACCAGTATCCTTTCTGCTGTCCAAATATTTGACCAATACTTGTCCAAAGTGTTTTATTCCTCCTATGCCTAAAACCTCCACCGTACTCCTTACAATGAGTGCTAGACTTAAGGACTGGATGAGGGATGAGACTACGTCAACATATTTTAAAACGTTGTAAGAGAAAGACAAACTTTAAAAAAAAAAAAAAAGAACACCTACATCCTCAACTGTATGTTTTTTAACCCGATAACCTTCTTACTTTAAAGACAGTAAGTTCACAACTCTAGGTTTCTCTCCACGGTGCAGAGTGTCAAGAGACTCTTGCTCTTGTACTAAAAATTACAGTCCGATAATTGTCCAGTTTGGGATCTATCAAGAATAACAACAGAATTTGGACTTGGCAAGAAGAATCACTGTGCTAGATCTGAGTGGGACTGACCCAAGCACTGGTGACCAGTATGTCTCACCACTGACAGTTACTACTCTGCCTGGAGAGGCTCCAGCACGGCAGGGCTGGCCCGGGTAGCAACCTGGGAGCCAGCCAAGGGGCCAAACAGGCCTCAACAGCGCGAATGCCAACGGCTTGAGTGGTGGCAGGTCTTTTGTAAGGGGCAGGCTGGCCTCGGAAAGAAGTTAAATCCTGTTTCCAAACTGTGAGCGTCTGTGCACCATCTGGGTCCCGCAGAGCGAAGCAGCTGCGTGCCTTTTTCCAGGAGGTTTGTCACACCTCCTCAGAAGGGGACATGAAGAGCCTAGGGAGGCTGCTCCAGCAAACACCAGAACACTGTCATATTGTAAACCTGTTTCTCCATGATTTGAAGAGGCCAAAGCCCTCTTTTAAGCTATCAAACCTGCTAACTTTAGAAAGCAGGGATTGTTAAAAGCTAGGTGTTCTCATTTCTTGGACCTGAACCTTTCCAATAAGTCCTCTTCATCCACGTAACGGGAAAGAATGCAGGAGGGGGCTGACAGATGCATCATTTCTTGAATTCCCACTGGCACTCCAAACCTAGCCAAATCCTTTTGTTCAACGTGCTGAGAGGAATCGGATCAAAAGTCATCGAGCTACTTTGACAAACAACAAACTGGCAATCATAGGAATGAAAGATTCACCAAAATTAAGCATATACTTTTTGAATCTGAGGAACACGTAACCCTTCTGCAGAAAAGGGGAAAGGAGGGATGTGTTGTTCAGTGGATCAAGATCTCTGTCTGCTGGTCATCGACTAACTCCAAAGGATTTACTCAAACTCTTGAGCCAGTTTTACGAATCATAAAATAAGCATTTATCTTGCCTAAAATATGACACATAACAAAGGCCTGCAAGATACAGAGAAACATGTCCATAAAATTAAAATTTTATTTTTATTCTAAGACCACCCTTCAGCTACCTGTGAATCCTTCCCTGATATAAAGTTATCTTTTACAAAGTTAGTTATCACTGCAAAATTCTTAGAGATGTGGGCAAATCCCCACAAAACAGCTATCACTGCCTTTGAAACAAGACACAGTTATGCTGTGCAATTATCAAGACGACCATGGTCCCAGGAACAGACTGTCCCCATGACACACTGCCAGCTGACCCAGGAACACTGAAACACTATCCCATAACTGTCAAGCCTGCCAAGAAGGAATTAATTTACAGGACAGTCTTCACAGGTAAAAATATGATTCCGCATTTCCATAAAAATCAAACCTATACCGGGTGTATCTGGATAGAGAATTCTTCATCGGGACAAAGGGAGGAAGGAAGGAAACAAAATTAAGTCCCTATGATTGGAATTCTGCAATGAAATTTAAGGAAAAAACTGACCAGAAAACATTAACACATGGGCAAGTGGTATCCAAAGCCTAAATTATGAAGTACTTCCCCAAAAACATTCAAAACAAGCTTGCTAGTTACTGTAATATGCCTTTTTCTCCTCTGAATAGTGTTCCTCAAAGATAGCTTCCCATTAATAATACTGCAAAGGCAAGTTGTAGATAAAACACAGACTTGACTTTCATCCCTTTGTTAACTCTATGCTAAGTCTTGAAAGAAAACAGATTAATCACAAAAGGAAGACCAAAGTAATGCATATGATGTGCTGCAAAACCTGCTCTTACCCCCACCTAGTCAAAAATTACAGCCCTCCTATTCAGTAAGAGACAAATGTGGTCTCCATCTCGGAGACACGTACCTTGTACCTTTTCGTTTGCAACAGAAATGAAGTACCATCTTTGTAAGACTGACGGGTCAAATCCTGCATGTTGGTGAGTGAAGGACTTGCCCAGCAATGACACCTTCTACAGCTTTATTTGAAAAATGAAATCTGTATTGTATTAAAAATGCTTTAAGGCAGCCCAGGCTTTCAGGCGGCCTTCTAACCAAGGCAAGCAAGTAAATCCCTCTAAACTATGTGTGTTGGCAAAACAGGGTATAATTCAGTTCTGGTGGCCTGGACGTGGTGGTGTCTCACTCTGCAAACACGAGCACGACTTACCAAGCGCTCGAGCAACTGCCAGGAAGGGAATCTGGTCGATGACGGTGCTGCGGCGCACGGGGCCGTTGTGAGTCAGACGCGGCCTCTTCCAGACGACACGATTCACCCCAGATTTGTTGATCACACTAAAACCACCAGAAAGAGGCAGAGGTTAAAAAGGAACAGAAATGAAAGCACGAAAGTTAGTTTAAATGGCACAAAACCAGTAAAATACGCAAACGTGGAGTCAATAATGAGAGCACCCTCAGGGAAGTCCACAGCACAATTAAGCGTTTCAAAACACACGGTATCACTTAGATAGTTTCATTCCTTATTAAGCCAAAGCAAAAAGTGAGAGATGAAGGGCAGAAGAAAAAGCAGGGGGAATGAAGACCTGGAAGAAATTCTGGCTGTCTGCAACAACCAGATGTAAGACTTTCTTTTAATCTGTGGGAGAAAAAGCAAAACTGAATTAGCTTTCCTCAAATGAGGACCATCAACATCAACTCACTCTGGTGGAAATATCATGTAGTTCCTCCTCCGGTTTTCTCCATCTGCCAAAGTTTGGCAGTGAAGAGCAGCACAGCAGAGTTGAAAAAAAAAACAAAAGAAAACAGAACAACCTTCTTAGCAGAGTTGAAAAAAACAAAAGAAAACAGAACAACCTTCTGTAGGGATGTCCTTAATGGTGCACGAACGTGAGGCAGAAATAAAAGAGGAATTGTCCATAGTTTGTATCTGCTGAAAGTAGGAGATAGGAACAAACAGTTCTGTATTCAAACATTAACACCTGCTGTAAGGCACCCAGCACTGGTTTTAGTCCTCACAGATGGCATTAGAAGGGCCAAAGGAGAAGCTACAGAGCAAGTAAATGGGGTAGCTGTTATCAGACAGGGAAGGCAGAAGAACAGAGAGAGCATCAGCCATCAAGCAAAAAATGGCAATGGAACATGGAACTAAGGGAGCTTGGTCCCAACCAAGTTAAGAACTAGATACTTAAAAGCTAGCTTTTATCCATGGAACAGCCATTGGTAATTAGAAGCTAAGAAGCTCTGGAACAGCCTCAAGATTCCTCATACTGAAGCTATTCAAGATGCACTTCCTGCGACTTCAAAGGCCTTAACAACAAGGGCATGTTTAGCTCCATCCTTTCGCATGCACAGCGCGGCAAAGTCCCAAACACCACATCCTAAAATCGATCTCATCCATTTGTACAAAACTAATGGCCACGCAAAGCTGACTTCAGGCTTATCTGAAAGATTACTTCATCCCATGCTCAGAGACTGTTCCTAGGAAAATACCGTTTTTAATGAAAGATTCAATTATGCTCCCCCATTAACTTTTCCTAATTCACTCTCATGAAAGAGAAGGCAGTATTAAGCAGTTTCACCATTCCACCTCACTCCTACCATTTGCCTGACAACAGCCTCCAACAGCCAGAAAAACAGAAGGCGCACCATAAAAACAAAGATTTTTAAAAATATAATAATTTTAACCATTCATAGAATTGTCTAGGTTGGAAGGGACCCTTAAGATAATCTAGTCCATTCTGGTTGATACGAAGTTCCAGGGAATGCTTTTTTGAAGCTTCGGAGACTTTCAACCTCCCAGATAAAATCCTTGGAAATCTATATATTTACAAGTACTAACCTAGTAAAATTGCAAATTACCCTTTTTGAAAAGCTACCATCCCTAACAAAGCAAACTGATCAACTTCCACCTGCTAGAGATACAAATATCTGAAGGTTAATTAATGAGCTGACAGGGTTCTCGTCTGAATGATGTCAACAGGAAAACCTTCAGTGATCTCTGCCTCTGAAGTGCTCAGAGGAGGAAACCGTGCCCATCCATCTGGTGCGGTACCGCAGAGCGAAAAGAACAGAGAGCTCCTGTGAAGCTGCGCCAAACGCGAGCCCCGAGGTTTGTCTCAAAACATTAGTGCCATCTGACAAACCTGCCTGCTCTCCTCCTCCATCACGGGGAACACACACACACCAACCACAACTCAGAGACCTTCTAACATCTGCCAGCTCCTGACAGTGAAGAAAATACTCATGGAGATACACATTAAAATGCGGTATTCTAACATTTTTAAGTGTGTATTTAAACACAGCAAATACAGTATCTTGTTTCAAATCTAGGATTTTTTTATGCTCCTTCAACAGAAGCTTTGAAGAGCCTACTCAACAGCTGCCATTGTCACCTCAGGAACAATGCAGAATGCGTGAAAAATTAGAGTATTTTGTGTCAAAACTGCTGGGTTTGATATTGTCACCTCAGGAACAATGCAGAACGCAGGAGAAATTAGAGAGTATTTTGTGTCAAAACTGCTGGGTTTGACAAAACAGATATTCCAGACCTCCCACCATTACCTACATGGAAAGGCAATTTTCCCCCTCCTCAGATTTCAATGAAGAGTAGGTCAAATAGCAGTATCTCCACTTTCCCAGTTTTCAGTGAACATTTAGAATTGTAACCACACTTCAGCTGCATGGGAATCCACCAGGAAATTCAAAATTTATACCATAAACAAGCAAAAAGCACAACAGTGTAACAATGGGTCACTATAACACATTCCCCAACAAGCTAGGAAAAAACAAGAGCATAGATAGGGAAAGAATATAAATAAGACTATGAGATTCACCAGCTTTCTTGCCCACCCTAAAACAAGCAAGCTTAAGCCTAGTTCAGTCAGAAAGACAGAAATAGCACTTAGAGATCAAACCTGAAGTAAAAAGCAACAAAGACAGTTACCTGCCCCCAAGGCCTTCAATTCTCTCTCTTTCCTTGGGAAGTTCTGGCTTGTGGTCCTGTGTCACCTCCACAGCTCTCACAAAGTCGTCCTTAGGGTCATCCTGGACTCCCAGCACCACTCCTGAATCGCCAACGTGAGCGACGTACATCTTCGACCCGCGGATAATTACCACGCTGGCGGTCGTTCCCGATGTGCTTGGGAGACCTGTCATGGTCTTCGGCCACTCTGCTGCAATGAGGGGGAAAAAAAAAAAAAAAAGAGTAAATATAAAACCCCTTTGTTTTTAATTCCATGGAACTGGTAAGGTTTCAAAGATCACGATGAAGGGTGTGTCAGAGGCTTGCGTAACCTCACAATCCAGTGTGTGCTTAACTATAGTGTAGCCGGGTCAACCAGTGCCCTCAGGTCCCCCCAGTTTCATCACTCCCCTCAAATTGACACATATATATGAGGCCAGTATCAAAGCACCAAGACAGGATTCAAGACCCTGCGTCCTCTGGCTCAATAGTCCAAACATCACCAGAAGATTGTGGAGGAAAATGCTCTCCTTGAGCGTCAAACAGCATCGATCAAGCGTTTCGTTAAGATCTACCCTTCACTTCCCTGGCTGAAGAGGTAGAAACATTATAAATTAGGTTATTTTGTTGGACATTTGACTGGCAATCAGGCTGTCTTGATGTTCCTGATCCCCTTGGAAGGAAAGAAAACGCTATCTTACTTTTATATGCTGAACAACATTTTAAAGTGAGTAACACTGCAACTGTTTTATTCACACTTGCTTTTGGAGGACTGAGTAGGCAGACTACTTAAATATGCTATCCATAACCCAACATCAAGTCTCCTGCAGAAGATATCCCTTGAATTCAGAACAATAAAATACTTATAACCAGTATGAATTACATACGGTTGGGGAAATCCTCTTTCTCAACTACTTTGCCCTCAAAACACTCACGGTAGTTTCTTGTTACACTGCTCTCCCCGTTTATGTCCAATCCAAATTCCTCTTTCATGCCTTTTCTTATTTTTGTGTCTGCACACCCAAGTTCATCTTCTTCCAAAATTCCACATAATGATTGAGACAACATCCCAATTAAGAAAGATTAGCCCTACCATCCTTCTCCCTGCTTCAGAACACAGAACTTGCGTTCCCAGTTATCGCTTGATTTCAACTGTCAACAGCAACCTCATGTTTCTTCTTCACTGCACCCACTCACATCTTCAGACAAACTCAGAAGGGAGACTCATCTCCTTGTCACATTCTATCTTCTGCACTTCACAAGTCACGCTCACACAGTACAACATAAAAATTCCACTGTGATACACATTCTGCCAGACTGCCAAAGTACTATGTTATTTATTTCTCTATGGCACAACAAACACACGGGAAAAAAAAACAACACTAAAACACAATTAGGCCTTCCCCGCTGTGAAAATAGGTATTTTAAACTTCAAAAGTTTTAAGCAGAAGCAAAAGATGAGGTACTTAATGAGTCCTAGTGGCACTGAAGGATGTTCAGATGCTTGAGGCAAGAAAGAGAATAGATGGAAGACGTGCTGAAGGAGAAACAGAATTTAATATAGACAGTCTCAAGATAAAAGCTGTATTTCCTCATTTTTAGCTACTAAAATGTCCAGCATAATTTAAACATTTAAGTTCTAACACAGAGCTCTAGCTCTGTGTTTAATACTAAAATACACTTTTCTCCCTAGGAGTAGCTTTATTTCAAGAACACAAACATTCAAACAGCTTATTTGAAGTACTTTGTCTGGCAATTTTAACTGTGGATATTAAATCTAACACATTCCAAATGGAAAGCAAATGAGGGAGGAAGCCAAGTGGTAATGAGGACTTCAACCATGCACTTAACAGAAAACAAGCTGCAACTAATGAGTTTCTGTCAGTGCAACAACCCCTCAATAGCAATAAAATATATTAGAGAGTCAAATCAGCCTTTATGGGAATGAAGAGCACGGAGAGTGAAATCACTCACGAGTAAAAGAACGATCCAGCAGCCTCAGATTTTAAGCTCTAACAGAACCAGAAATTACATCTGCTTATCAGCAAGGGACTTGACTTTATGTCTTGCTCCTCTTTAGAGATAAGTATTATATATAGTATAGAATATTCCTCTTTTTAGAGATTTTGTCTCATCAGAAATTCACAAAAGTGTCAGAACTCCTAAGTTTTCTTCTGAGCTCAAGTATTAAAATCCAAGTCACTTACACAACTCCTCCTCATTTCAGGAGCATGTTTTTATCACTCTTGTAACTCAAGCAATAGGACGTCTTTGTAAAACAATTTTTCCCCATGCTGGAAAAGCACTACCCTTCACTCTGTTTGTAACATGGAGTCTGCAAACTCCACTGGTTTTGTAGCCAGCAAATTGGAATTGTCACCTGTCACAGGAAGGCTAAAGTGTTTTCCTTCATATTTGACTTGGTCACTCCTTTTCTTTCTCTTTATTCATTTGAAAAAAAAACAAACCACAAAACATTTTAGCACAAACTATATGGAATCCCCACAACCAAACATATACACAGGACACTATCATCAAGAAAGTTTTCATACTTGCTGAATTCTTTTCCTACACACTACCATGACCCAGCAAAACTCACCAAATGCTATTTTTAAAGCCTACTCTTGTCACCTCGTTCTTTATCTTGTGTTTAGATGTAAGACACAAGACAAAATACTACTCTGACTTTAAAAAAAGTGCCTGTATTTCTTTCGTAAGATACCTCAATAGTCCAAATGATCAGATAAAATCAAAAGGCATTTTCTCCTCTAACAAATTAACTGGGAATATATACTAATTAACAGGTAGGAGTAGCAGCACATGAAACTCTTTCTTTGGTAGAAAGATCAGCCCCAGATGCCATTCTTATTTAAATACACACATAACACTTCTTCCCCTGCCTGGTCAGGACAGCTCCAATGGAAACATGAGCTTTTTCTTAAGCACACAACTGGCATCACTGACAGTAACAATATTAAATGCCACCTGCTTTTGAGTTTAGACCTTCAGTGAGTTCAGAGCAAATTATTGCTCATTTTTCATACCGCAAGCTGACAGGTTAAAAGAAAATTACAACAAAGCTCTCAAAACAACATTCACACTTCAAAGATACATCCGAAACCCCAACCAGTGTATCTGTTACACCAAAACATGGGTCCTATGCCTGGATACCACATCTGTAACAGAAAAAAATACTCTGCCACAGCCTAAAAAGCAAATTCTCTTATGATGGCTGGAGTGTGATCTCAAACACAGAGACTGCTCCCAAACACGTTTGTGGAAATTCTGCTCCTGTTTATTTTGAGAATGATTCAGAATTATCCTGGGAATCAAAAACCACCAATGAACATATGTAATTTTTATTTCACTGGTTTTATATGCATTAAGTCAAGCTACCTCATTCCAAATTAGTCTGATTCTAAAATTCTTGTTGTTTTCAAAAAAAATAGATGCTATATGAACTTTTAATACAGCAATAGACCCTAAAAAATTTTACATTATCCTGAAAATCTGCATTGCCTCAAGTGGTCCAAGTGGTTCTTCATCTTTTCAGATAAGAACACGTACGTAAACTCTTCAACATTTCTAAGAATAATCCTGAAATCATGACTGCAGTGAAAATTACAAAAACACTTGTTATTACACAAGAGATTGAAATATTATTTGACTTTTATTGCTTCAATTAAACTTAATGGGAAGAGTTATAACTGAAGCAGAAGCATGCAACTTTCTAAATTGTAACTAGTAATGCTGAAAAATGTTTTTAATAGCATCAAGCTAAATACGAACGTTTTAAAACAAGCTCTTGGCTATACAAATATTGAATTACCAAAGAAACATCAATCTATGCAATCCTCAGTAAAGTTACATCAAAATCTGGGACCTCCCGAGTATCCTTCTTGTAAACCCCTTTCCTACCACTGCCAGTTGTAGAAACGGGCTTCAAATTAGAACTTTTACTCTGGGAGCTCTTTAGTATGCAGATAATTTTATTACTATATAACTAACCCCAAAGTTAACAGCAATGACAAAGGGGCATTTTTGTGTTTTAATTTTTCTGGTACTCTCATCATCACTGTGTTTCCTGTCTATCACAGGGGATGGCCACTGGGATCAGCCCACTGCTTCCAACAACTAACCAGTAGGAGCTTCTCTTCCAATGGCCACCAACTGGCAGCAATAAGGACTCCATCCATTACACCAAAAACCCAAACCATTCTGCCATCCCCATTTCAAGATACCAAAAAACCCAGTCTCCATGTCCATAGTGTCACCAACACACAATTAAAGACCTAGCCTTCATATAATGATATGCAAAATTATTCACCCTAAGCAAAATTTGCACTGGGATTCCGTAACGTAGTTTGAGAAGTTATAAATTGGATACAGTAAAGCTTTTGTCCCATAAAACTCTAGCTGTTCTGCACACGCAGCAGGACTCAGCAAGACCAAACACACTACACACAAGTTTACTATACAGCCTACCTAAAGCTGTCATCAAATACTCATAGCCAGAGCTATGTTGTTTCTCACAACTTAAATTGGTTCCACAACCCAAGTACTATTTGCTAAACACTCATTACTAAAATAGCATTTCCTGCATTCTGTCACCTCACCCCACCTCTCTCCATTTTGTAGTCACACGTAGTTACAGGGACAAACAGCAGACAGGGATACTACAAAACTAGACAACTAAACTCCTTATCTTTCTGCCCCATACCTTCTTCCCCTATTCACACAGCTTTCTCCTTATCACACCAGTCTGCAGCCCAGGAGATCATGTTCCACTCACCACTCCTTCCCCAGCACCAAGGTGGTGGTCAAGTTCTGGTGCTTCTAAAATTCAGACCCTGTCCTTTCTGTCCGATACCAGCCTGCCCCCAACCTTGCCATTCCTTCCCCCCGTATCTTTTCAAGTACCTGACATTTGCACAACTTCCCTATTCTGCTATTCAAGAAAAAGGAAAAAGGAAATGAAACTGTTTTGACACTACAATCCCCTCACCCCCCCCCCTCCCCAATGAATCACTTTGTTGAAACCCCGCGGTGCTCGAAGTGCAATTCTTGCTTTTCATGTTTGCCTCCCAAGCCCAACTGTCAGTATCACTGTCTGGTTTTGATCCAATTTTACTGTGTTCCCCTCCTGCCTGCGTGTCCTCATCTGCTGTTCACTGCTCTTACATTTTCTGGGGCTTCTGAATACATAAACAC